AGTATGTTAGCGCTCGAGCGGCATGGGTTCGATTCTGGTTGCCGGCATTCCGCCGAATCGAACTTTTCATCTTTTGGTCCGCGCGGGCGTAATTTTCAGTCGGGTGACTCGGATACGTTGCGGAAATCTGCATCGACTCGGGGGCGTCTCGGAAATACCCACCTCTCTCCCCACGATGCGTTAACACCACGGAATCGAATCCGAGGCACTCCGGATTCGGGGTCAGAACTTTGTGATGTAGATGCAACGGATAGGCCAGTTGAGGTCGATCCAAATGTGGTCCTCCACCCCGGACGTGGGGAAGGGGAAGGCCACGAAGAAAGGCATGTCTGTGGCGGGCTTGCGGTTGTAGTTCCAGCGCACCATGTCGAAGTCCGACCCGCTGTTACGATCCAGGACGAGTGTCTCGCGCTGAGTAACTCTGCCAGACCCGTCCTTAGTGCCGGTGTACATAACGCCGAAGTTATGTGGCAGCTGGTACATGTCGTAGAACATGTTCCAGATCATGTTGGCATTCTCCATGCGGGGGTGCTTGCCAACACAGTTATTAAGCCCATTACCATACCCATTGGCAGAATGCACATAGTTGGGGACCAGCTCGATGACAAAGTGCTTGTAGAAGTCCTCGGGTTTCCTCTGCGGCGTACCCCTTATGGTTCATTGATCCGATCTTGACCCGGCCTTTCCCCACAGGGTCCGCAGGCAGGCTCCGTGTGTTTGCTCCGTGGGGCTGGTAGGACTTCAACCCTGGGCCCTCCCTGGGCCCTTCGCTCATTACTGAGATGCCGCTCTTGCTCTCGGTGCTGATGGAAGCCATGGCTGCCACTTGGGGGGAAGGGTCAATGACGCGCTCTCCTGCTTCTGCTCACAGGTTTTGTCTGCAATTATCAGGTCCTTCTCGGTTTCCAAGACGCCGTGTCTTCAAGACCTGAAGACCTGCTACAGAAGCAACGTCGGGCTAGCTGATAACACTAGAAGCAGAGGATACGCCCCGGGGTTCTAACCATCAGCATTGTAGCCCCATAGCCCCAGCCTTTGCATGATACCGGTGCACGGGCTTTTGAGAAGTCAACATACGGTATACGCAACTGGTCAGCTCAGGAGTCAGTAGCTCTTGATTAAACCAACTAGGTACACCACGAAATCGCGACTGCTCAGGAGTCATGCAGTAGCAGTTGCATGGACTTTTGGGAGCCTTAGTCGGGTCTGTGCAGCATATAGGCTGAGTGGTGTCGCTCTACTTATAGGTAGGTACCTATGTAGGTACTCTCAGTTTCTGTACCTACCGGTATAGGTATGAATTGGATACCTATGGTGCCGTGTTGTTGGGGCCGCCTGTGTTGAATTAATTCCAGTACAGTACCGTACTTCTGTTCATCCAATTCACAGTGTTCATTGCGCGCTGCGCCGCTGGCCCAGTGCACGGCAGCACGGAGCTGCTTGCACCGCGTAATAGGCACTTACCTACCGTACCTATGTACCTATGTACCTATTTGGGCAGTACGGTATTACCGGTATCAGGTACCGGTACAATACCTACTCATGACGCATACTCAGGCTCAGCCACTCACAGTGAAGAGTGACGAGTTGCACAGCAAAGATACCTACCTAGTAAGATACCCTAGTAGAATTTTGATACATGGCACAATTTGATGATTCGGCACACCACATTTGAATGGCAGCATCGGAACGTGCCTGGCCGGCGCGAATAAGTTAGGCCAGCTATATGCGGTTAGGTACACTCGCTCGAGTTGCCCTGCATTCGCACCAAGCACGCATGTGGCAGTTCTGCTTTGTCTTCGGGCATGTCAGTCAGGATACCCCTGTGAATAGGTAGGTACCGCTACTACAGCATCAGGACCAGGGTCAGTCAATATTCAGGTACTACCTATATGTACGTACCTACCACACCTACCTACGGTACCGGTATACGGTACGTACGTACAGTACACTGTACTACAGTAGAGCTGGTCGGATTCCGTATTGGGTACCGTACTTACTACTCAGTGGTTGGATCAGTGGCCTGCTACCAATCTAGGTACCTACGTGAAGTTGAAGGTTCAAGCCTTCAAGGTACGTACTCGGTACCTAACTGAAGGACTCTCAGAGCGATGATCATTCTTATCCCACGACCGGG